GTAATAATTTTGGGGCAGCACTGCCATTGAACATCAGGAACAACTGAAGAAAGTATATGGAAATTGCGAGAGCTAATAACCTTAAGGTGAATAAGGCCAATTTCAAGCAATGGAAATAACATACTTGGGAGAGAGACTGACCTCCAAGGGAATCTTGCCCAGTGAATCAAAGATTGAAGCAATACTGAACATATTGAGACCCGAAGATAGAAAGATAATTCAAAGGCTGCTAGGTGTGTTGAATTATGTCAGCAAATACATGCCTACCTGTACTGCACACACAGTTCATCTAAGACATCTCACAAGGTCACCAAATGAGTGTAGATGCCTAATGTGATTTAAAGCACATTCTGATACCAGCTCCAGTGCTGCAATTTTTTGACTGATTGAAAGACATTAAACTCTCCACAGACACCTTGAAATGAGAGCTGGGAATAGTAGTATTTCAGTATCATGGAACTGATTGGTTGCCAGCCTCAAATGCATCAAGGGCTGTGACAGCTGCAGAGAATATATAGGCACAAATTGAAAGAGAGACATTAGGTCTGGTGTATGGATGTACAAGATTTCATGACTTTCTCTGTGGTCATATCTTAAAAGCAGAAATTGGTCACAATCCATTGATTGCAGTACACAAAAGGGACTTTGTGAGGCATAACCAAGAATACAGTGACTACTTTTGAAATTACAAAAGCATGATGTGATCCTGGAGTTCTAACCTGGATGCCACTTAGTAAGGGTAGACACATTATCAAGATCATATGTTCCATCTGACAATATACAGCCTGATGATCTGGAACCAGCAGTTAACATACATGTGAATATGCTAAGTGTCACATGGTGTATTTTTAGGCTAAAGATAAAATGATGTAAGCAGAGATACAAGTGATAAGTAAAGGAGGAAAAAACCATTTTCCACCTGCCTATTCCCTATCAGTGATCTCAGAAGTGCTCTTGAAGGGAACACAGATTGTGGTTCCCACAGAGATGAGAAGGGAAATATTGGACCAGATACATGAAGGACACCTGGGAATGACCAAATCAAAAAGGGAGAAGTTTTATTGTGGCCACAGATGAACAGTGACATTGAAGAAATGGTGAGCGGGAGTGGAACATGTCAGAAATATAAAGATTCCCAGCTGAAAAAACCAATGGTACCATATGAACAACTTGAGATTCTATGAGACAAAGTTGGAATTCACATGTTCATCTTGAGAAGACATGATCACGTATTTATAATGGAGTACTTACCCAATTTCCCAGAAGTAAACACACTTGAAGATACCACAGCAGCACCAATAGTCAGGCATCGTAAATCTGATTTGCACATCATGGAATTTCAAGAACAATAACTGGCAATGGACCACAGTTCAAGAATAGGGATTTCCTGGACTTTGGTAAAATGTATGGCTTTCGAAAATCATGAGACATCTAGTCCCACATACTGTGAGATCAATGGATGATCTGAATGTGGACTATGTATACTGAAGAACTTGATCAAAAAAGCAGTGGATGCAAGAGAAGATCCATACTTAGCACTACTCAGCTATAGCACTACATTGCTGCAATGTGGAAAGTCATCCACTGAACTCTTCTACAACAGACATATAAATACTTGATTATCAGGTATGGGACAATGGAAAGGATGATTAAGAAGTTTTTGATAGTGAGGGGAAAAACTGGGAAAGTACAACCAGACAGATACAATAAAGGAGCAAGACCCCCTCCACAGTTAAAAAACAAAGTGAGAATTTGGCAAGATGGACACTGGCCAGTCCAAGCTACAGTGATCAAAGAGGAGTCATCTAACTTGTACTCCGTGATCACAGAGGAAAGCAAAATCTTACAAAGGAATTGTACGTATCTGCTCAAGATACCTGAAAACTTGGCCGAGACAAATGAAGTGAGAGCAGACATACTAGCTGAAAACAATTCACAAACTGTGACCCTGTTGTTGAGCATGAGACTGAACAGCTTGTTACAGGCAAGAACTTGTCTAAAGAGAGTTTGCAATACAGCAGATTGAGATGTGTTAGGGTTGTGTTTAAGCAACCGTAAGATTTAAGTCAGTTCAGAGTGCAGGAGTGGGCATGGGGTGCTGGCTCTGGGAAGGGGCTCAGGGCTGGGGGTTGGGGCGCGGGCTCCAGCCAGGCGGCACTTACCTTGGGAGGCTCCCGGTCGGCGGCACAGTGGGGCTAAGGCAGGCTCCCTGCCTGCCCCGGCCCCACGCTGCTCCCAGAAGGGGCCAACACACCCCTGTGGCCCCTGGGGGCGGGAGCACGTGGCTCCGCGAGCTGCCCCTCTCTGCAGGCACTGCCCCCGCAGCTCCTATTGGCCGCAGTTCCCCATTCCAGGCCAAAGGGAGCTGCAGGGGTGGTGCTTGCAGGCAGGAGCAGCATGCAGAGGGAGACCCCTGCCCTCCCCTTCCCCGGGGCCGAGGTGGTGCGCTGGCCAGTTCTGGGAGCCGCATGGGGCCGGGCAGGCAGGGAGCAAGCCTGTTTTAGCGGCAGCCCCACTACACCATCGGACTTTTAGCGGCCAGAGATCATGATCAACTGGGAGTCTCCAGGATCGACCAGTCGATCGCGATCGACCGGTTGGTGACCACCGTTTTATAGTGTTTTTTTAGTTCAGTCAGGAAATTTAAAACAGGGAAGATGTGCTGTAGTGTAGACTAAGTCCTCCAGGGAATGGAGAGATGCCACTCTTCCTGCAGACTCTAGATACTACCTTCAATTTCCTGTGACATGCTTTCTGTTGGGGCAGAAACAGAGAAACCCAGAACAAGGCAGTTGCAGGCTGCAGTTACACAGAATAGTAGAAACTTTTGTTACTTCATTTTCGGTACATAGTTCCTGCTCATAATAAAGTGTTTATCTTAACACCACTTTGGGACAAGCAGATCATTCCCTTAGGCCTTTGACTCAGTGCTCCGGGCAAGAGATGTTTTTCACCACCACTCTAGATCTGCAATATTAGGGTTTGGTTTTGTTCACTTTCCTCTTGGGATTTCAAAATCTCTTGTGATCCTTTATAGGTGGCAAATGCATGCCTGTTCTTTCTTGGCCCACAATTCTGATCTGAATAAAGTTCATTAGCATGTTGATAGGTCCCTCAGGGAGGGGGCCGTTGCATGTGTGGGAGAGAAAACAAATTTCCTTTTCACTCCCCATCCTGCTTCTAGAGTGATTACAGTTTTCCATAATCAAATCTATATCCAATATGGTTTCATGACAGATGGTATCCAGTCTATTACATAGTGTTTACTGATTTTTTTCTTCCATTACTAGCTATCAAGCTCACAAACTTTAAACTCAGCAGCTTGCAAAGGATACTTACTGTAATTCAAATTCTCCAAAATGTGAGAAAGCATGGAATTTAGAATGTAATAGTCACCAGGGCTAAATATGTAAAATCATTGATAACCATTATGTTATGTTAGGATTTTCCCATGTGATTCCAAATTATTGTGTTGATGTGTAGAAATCTGTTTATAAAAATCTCCAAACTTCTATTGCAAAACTTTAATGTGCATTGTTGCATCTCTGGAGGAGTGAGGACTATATGGACTTTTTCATTCTAATGCTTCATTTTTCAATAAATAAATCACAGTGAGTTAGTAAGTACCAAATACAGTTCATTGTCTCTCTCTTTATTAATCTCTTGAGCCTGTAAGTACTTACTGCTGGTGGTCACGCAGATGTTACATAATAGTGAATGGGCATGTCTTCTGTAGTTTAATGCTTAAAGTATCATATTGTTCACATTTTTCAAATAAAGAGCAAAATCTTTAGATGGGCTACTGCTAAGCTCAGAATGCAGGAGATTTCAACTATTGTCAATACATATTAGGAACAGAAAAAATAAGATCCCCCAAATTATTTGATACAGAAATTGAATTAGTCACTTTTAATAATTAAAATTGATAGGATGAAGATTCTGACGATTAGCAGAGGAGTAACTATTGATAGTAATTTGGTCTACATCAGAAAGTTTTTTGCAGTTGAATAAAAGCATCTGAACTTCTTTCCTAGGTTAACTTGACATCTGCTTGAATGGTCTTTCTTCCCAATGCTTCCCTTAAAAAAAATTCAGAATGTTCCTTGATCCATATTATTTTTCTCAAAACATCAGCGTTTTTTAGCTTTCTGGTCATTCTGTTTTAAGTGTGGGAATGATGACATTCCCTAACCATCACTAATAAGAGTCCCATGGCCTAAAATTCTAGACACAGAATTGAATATATATATCTTTATAGAATAGAACATGTCACCAAGTTTCACATTCTTGCTTTTATAAGTAATTAATACTAATAAAGCAGTTTGGACTTTCAGCCTGAGCTATTTTTTCTCAAAGTGCAAGTCTTGTGTCTTGGGGGAGAGGGAGGGAGTAGCTGACTTTTTCTAAGAGAAATGCCAACAAATCTACCAAGAAAGGGATGTTTTCCCAGCAATCCTATGGTCTAAAAATTATTATTTTCTAGCAGTAGTGTTGTCGCTGGTTTGTTGATCTAGCAGTGATTTATTAGGTTTGGTCCACAACTGAACATAGGAAATCTTGGGCCATGGATCAGGGTCATGCTTTTACTTGTCTTGAAATAAAACTGAGCAATGTAACTAAACTTATAGAATTTTAGTTAATAAACAGTGAATGAATATGTTTTTGGCATTTTGCTGAACGAGATTGAGATTTCTTGGAGAGGTTGTAAATTATTATTAATAATACTGCAGGTAGCAGGTTATTCACTGAATTCCACAAAGATAGGAAAACAGATTGTCTTATAGAGCAGAGGATTGAAAATATTAAGAGTGACTATGGAAGTAATCCTCAATCACTTGTATTTTGGAACTATGTTACTTGCTGCTGAAGTTGTTTCATGTAAATAAACTGGGCATGATGTTACAGCGACTCCCAATAGAAGCTATTATCACTATTGTTGTACATTTTTCTAATGGAAAATTGAGAGGTGTGTTTAAAAAAAAACTGCATTTTTTTCTCAGATCCTTCTGATGATGAAGAAATGGAAAAATCAACCAACACAAGTAAACCAGTGCAGCCTGACTCAGACTCCGAGTCCAAACCTGCTACATCAAAGAAAAGAAAACAGGTTGGTAAGATTTGTGACTGTATTGATCATAGAGATAATAATACATAATGAAATCAGGCTTTTCACCCTAAATAAATGGTGCGTTTCTCCACTTACTGTCCTGATCTCTTGCTTAGTACTGCTGTGTTGCCTGCATTATTTGGAAACGATTAGGTTCCAATCTTAAGAGATTTCAGTCATAACTTTAGTCTCATTTTATACAGGTACAATAGGGCACAGAGCCCATCTCTTTCCCCAGGCTTGAGTCAGGTGACTGTGCAGTGGTGTAGGGCTAAGTGATGTGCCAGTCTTTTAATGTTGACATTGCCTGAAGAGTCTTATAGTTTATTATTTAAATATTGTACAGCACCGAGAGAGACAACCAGAATCTGCCCTCATTGAAATGGCCCTTAGACTTGAGTAAGGAATGATTGGGTCCCAGGTGATGGACATTGTTAGAGCCCAGTTTTGCAAAATGTTGAGCACCTTCAACTCCCACTGAAACCAGTAGGAATTGAGGATGCTCAGCACTTCACAGGATGTGCTTAATAATAAAAGATGCAGGAAGCTCACTGACTAACCTGGCAAGTAGGCAGAAAGAAGATTCATCCATAACACACTATGGAGTTTAAAAGGTCTCCTAGTATTGTTGCCTTCAAGGTATCATACACGGGAGTGACCTGGATGGATATAAGGGATTAGGAATGAGATAAGAATCTTTCTGCTTTAGGTCATCAGTTTTCAATTTGGCCCAGGTCAGTAGTAGCTACCAGTTCTAGCTGTATGATGGCTATCCAGTGGCATAGGTGAAATAAGCTTGTAGTATCATTCCCGCTTGTGATGGACAAGTGTCAGAAACACCACTGGCATTTATTGCCACCTTTTTTGGTGGTCTCTGCAGAGGCACCAAGGACTGAATGAGCCATGGACAGTGAACTTCTGTCCACTTCCTGTTCATGATGGGGGCTCTTTGGCTGAGTAATGTGGGGGAGGCTTACGCTACCATTGCCCATCCTGTACCTGTGCTGCAGATAAACAGAGGAGTTCAAGGCTGTTAGTACAGCAACTTTTGCCACCACTAACTACAGTTTAACATTTAAAATGAAATAACAGTCATTGCAAAGAATAAGCGTCTGTACATGTAGCACTGCCTCCTACTGGAGGGAATTAGACTGCTTAACTGTGGCCTAGGACAGTGGTTCTCAACAGGGGGTCCGTGAACCCTTTTGGGTGGCCGGGGGGCCCCACGGTTAAAACCCAGAGCCCATACCCCATCACGTAGGGCTGAAGCCAGGACCCGCAGAGTTGAAGCCCTGATCCCCGGCACCCCCCACGGGGTAGCCCTGAGGGCCCGGTGTTTTTGGCGCACACCCCACCCCCCCCCAACTACACTGCAAGAGCAGGGCAGTCCCGGGGAAGCTCCACCCCTCCACCTCTTTTCCCCGCCCCCTGGCCAGGTTGGAGGTGGGAAGCTGGAGCCGGGCACGGGCAGTGCAGGGCAGCTGTTGCTCTGGCTGGTGCCATGGAGCAGGCAGCTGCAGCGTTCCCTCATCTCCTGCTGCTGCTGGTGCAGGGGGTTGAAACTGCTCCTCAGCTCGCAGCCCCCTTTGCTCACGTGGCTGGTAAGAGCCGCCTAGGCAGGGGGACCCAGTTCCGTGGCTAGCAGAGCCCTCGAGGAACAGGAACCACAGGGGAGCTTTCTCAGCACACAGCCCCTAGTACCCTTCTCCCTGCACCCTGAGCTCCTCTCACCCCCGCCTGCACACAGCCCCTAGCTACCCCCCCCGCCTGCACACAGCCCCTAGCTACCCCTCTTCCTGCCCCCTGAGCTACCCCCCCGCCTGCACACAGCCCCTAGCTACCCCCCCTGCCTGCACACAGCCCTAGCTACCTCCTCCCTGCACCCTGAGCTACCCTCCGCCTGCACACAGCCCCTAGCTACCCCTCTTCCTGCCCCCTGAGCTGTTTTCAAACTTTTTGAGCTGAGCCCCCCACCTTTGAGTTATAATTTTTGGTTGCCCCCCTCCCCCAACCCAGACTGGTAGGTGGCCTGCAGAGGTAAGTCCGGGTAGAGGTGGTGCTACCTCCATGGACCCTGCCGTGCAGAGTTGGCTCGAGCCCCGCTGGCCCCTGCCCATCCAAAATAGAAGTCAAACTACACCCAAGCCTGAGCTCCCCTCTCCCCCGCTGGGCCCTGGAGTTTTTATAGCATGTTGTAGGGGGCCTCAGAAAGAAAAAGGTTGAGAACCCCTGGCCTAGGACATGTACTGCTAACAGAGATCTTTGTTTAGTTTAAGAAGTAGAAGCCTGGATTTTGGAGCAGGAGGGCTCTGAGTTTTAGCCCCACAGCAGCTATGATGCTCCATGTGGCAATGGTGTGCGGCGTCATGAGGCCACAAATTCATTACAGTATCACACAGCTCTTTTGTTGCAAGAAAGGTTGCTAATCAGATATGTTTACAGAGGTGCCTATAATTTTAATGTATGTATTTCACTTGAATACTGCATTTCTGGTGCATATTAAATTGCAGATTTAATCCACTTCACTCCTGTCTAATCAACAGTCCAGAAGCTATTTTGTTGTGGCCTTTGTGTATGGAAACCAGTCAGGAGAGAAATGAATGGAATTATTAACATATATATTTTCAGTCCACAGACTATTTTGATAGTTTAATTAATTCATAGACTGTCTGCAGACCCACAATGAAAAGAATAATTTGTCTCCATTTTAAAGCAGGAGGTTGAAATGTTTATTTTGTCAGTAACTCCCAAATTCAGTGGATGGCCTAATTGGAATGTAAACTTTCTCTCTCTCTCTCTCAGACACAAGAATGTTTTCACTTTACATTTTGGTTTTTCAGTAACTTGGCGACATGTGAAGAGATGTTGCATTAGAAACATAACACAGGAAACATTTTATGTTCTGTCTGTGATTAACAAACATGGAATTCATGGCATTTTATTTCATAAATCAAAGGTCTCCGCACAAATTTCCTGTTTTTCTGCATTTTTAAAACTTCTGTCTAAAAATAGCACAAAAATATGCAGAGTACATGGAGCCAGGTCAAAATCAGTGGCTAGTCTGCACAGTACAATTCAGAAGGAAAAAATGCAAATAATTTTTTTAATGGAGATTTGCAAAAAGCTGCTGAATGAGGAAGAGTAGGCGAAAACTTGCAGAAGGGTCTGAAGCTCTGTCTAGATAAGATGCTTAAACTACTGAAGTTTCCAAACCACCAACAAAGGACACGCATAAGCTTACAGCCATTCACAGTAATTAGGTTAATCCGAACATCTCAGTTATATGTGGTGTGGAGTTGTTGTGTCTGAATAAATTATAATTGTATTCCTGGGCTCATCAGCTCACCAGGCCTACACTGCTCCACTACCAAAGGAGTCTTGTGCATCTAAGTGGAACAAAATAGTCAATGAGTCTAGGTTAGCTTCAGTGGAAAATCATTAAAAATAATGGTTCTGTGTACATGTTTCAGTGGAAGACTAGCAATGGAGAGACAAAAGCTATAGTCCATACTGTGACAGATATGGCCATTTCCTGCAATATCCTGGACAGACCTTACTGAATTAAGTTTACGTATCTTGGGAGTTCATTGTATTAAAAATGCAAATGTTTATGTATTATTGTGGGATTGTATGTACATCTCTAAAGGGGAGACATGACTTAATGCCAACCCTGGGAAGTTGTTATGAGAGCTTCAAAGGACTCTTAACAATGGGCCAAACGAGAATGAATTTTTAGTTGAGTGGGTTTTATAGGAAATACTTTGGAGGAGGGGAATGCAAATTCCCACCTCCGGATCCAATCTTTTGAAGCTACGTCCCAAGGAGAAACTCCTTGTCTGCTGATTAACTGTTCCCAGGGTCCCAATATCAAAGGCCCAAAGTGTATAATGGAGTGACTCTCAGATTCATGGGTGTTCTTATTTTGAGCAAAAGGTGTTATGAACCTGTTACCACAGGAAAATTCATGTGTGTTTTGAAGGACTGATTCCTACCAGGACCCTTCTGGAGTTAGGGCGATCCATAGGCACCGACTTCCCCTCTGCCCAGTGGGTGCTCGCCCCCCTGGCTCCGCCCCACCCCGCCTCTTCCCGTCACTGCACCGCCCTCATCCCACCCCCATTTCACCCCTTCTCCAAAGTCCCCGCCCCATCCCGCCTTTTCCCACCCAAGCCATGCCCCTTTCCCGCCCCCATTCCACCCCCTTCCCCCAAGTCCCCGCCCCTGTCCTGCCTCTTCTCCGCCTCCTCCCCTGAGCACACCACATCCCCGCTCCTCCCCCTCCCTCCCAGAAAGTCCTAAGTGCCGCTAAATAGCTGTTAGGCGGCAGGGGGGTGGGAAGCGCTGGGAGGGAGGGGGATGAGCAGGGACATGGCACGCTCGGGGGGGGGGAAAGAAGGAGGCGAGGAGGGGGGAGCTTGGCTGCCGGTGGGTGTGGAGCACCCACTAATTTTTCCCCATGGGTGCTCCAGCCCCGGAGCACCCATGGAGTCAGCGCCTTTGGGGTGATCTCTGGTAAGCTTATTAGCATGTGTGTAGGTTCTTTTATTGTTTTAATATGTTTTTTTCTCTAACGTTTTCAATAAGACTAGCTTAAGAATAAATGTTCTTGCTCATGAAGAGCTGTGTGGTACCTTCTACCTGTGGGCAGTTACGCTGCTTATTTCCTCTAAGGAGAAGGCAAAGCAGGCCTGCTTAGTCAGTCTGATTTGCTGGAGAATTCACAGTGTGGTCAAGGAACTATGCAGCCTGGAAAACCCGCAGTCAGAAGGGAGAGAGACTGGAGTCTCCTCCTAAGAGAGGTGACAGCTGAGAAGCCGGGAGCCTAGAGTGGGTGCTCTTGCTTCACCACAAGGGTCAAAATACTTGCCCTGAGCTATGACACATACATCTTGAGGGGGGAGAGAAAAACAAGAAACTCATCAAACTGGTTTGGGCCAGCAAGTTTAGAATCAGTCTTGTGGGTGGGGTATATATGGGAGTCTGGACAAGAAGAGAAAAACTTAGGCTCACAGGAACAGGGAGGTGAGTTGCCTGGGCATTATATTTGTACAGCATCTAGCACAATGGTCTCCTGATCCTAAAGATGCTACCACAATAGAGTAACTTATAGCAATAATTGTTTGCAGTGTTGTTGTAGCCCTGTTGGTCCCAGGATATGAGAGAGACAAAGTAGGTGATGTAATAGCTGTTATTGGACCAACTTCTGTTGGTGGAAGTTACAAGCTTTTGAGATACACAGAGCTTCCACCAACAGAACTTGGTCCAATAAAAGATATTATCTCACCTACCTTGTCTCTCTTACAACAGCGATAACAGCATAGACAATGGATCCAAAACTTTGTGACCTGCTGGATTGAGATGAAAGAGGTGGGGAATGGACGAGAGAGAGATTTCCCTTTGCAGGCTCCATTTATAATCTCGGCCAGAGTTAGGAAGATGGGTTGACTTTAATTTAGTAGTTTAACACATGCTGCCCATATGAGAATCATAGTCATGGTGGCAGCTGTTAGGGGCTGTTAGGACTAAGCCCCATTAATAATACCCAGCTAGCAGCTACACCTGCAGTTCTCAAACTGTTGTTATGTACCACTGATGGTCCATGAGCTACCACTATATTTAATTTTCCTGTGACCTCTGGACATGATCTCTCTAATTTGCCACCTTTACAAACTGAGTGCTCATATACTGATCATCCTAAATACATACAAGTGGGGAGACATGAACCAAGGAGACATTTCATGGACTAAAAAGCCAATCTTCATGGAATTAAATGAAGAACAGCATAGAGCAAAATTTGAAAACATCTCTTGAAAAATGTTACATTATAAACATAAAAAAAAGGAAATCAGAAATACAGAAAAATCATTATTTCCAGTTATTCTCTCCTATCTGTATGGTATAGGTCACCAGCTGGTTGGTCAGGTTGTACCCAATTATTACAAAGGCCTGTTTGGCAAAGTTAGAATGAGTTCTTTTTGCGGATACAGACTAACACGGCTGCTACTCTGAAACCTGTTAGAATGATTGTCTCACACAATAATAGAGATTACATGTATTTACTTTTTGAAAGCTCTGTTCACTTTTTCCTTCTGATTTTTTGTTGTTGTATTAAACATGCTGTAAACCAGATGATAAAGGTGTGCCTATGACTCGTATGTTTCAGGTTTCTGTGCTTTTTTTCTGTTCTGTTACACCAGTGTGAATATGAAGTCGTTCCAGAAGTTACTTCAGCTTTACACCACTGTAACAGAGCAGAGTTTTACCCCAAACCTGTACATATTATTTTTTTTCTCTCTCTATCAGTATCTGAATCTTTGTACCCAACTGCTGCCCCCACTCCATCATGTTCTGTGGTAATAATATCTCTCATGATCAATCTCTTTTTACAACATCTGCTTTGCAGCCTGCGGAATGTTTTCTAACTCGTCCTGAGGAAAAAGAAGAAAACACTGTGAAGGTGAAAAGGAGAAGGAAGGTATTGGAAACTCCCTCTCCACCCCCCGCCCAACTGAAAGTTCAACACAAATGATCTTTGGGTCTGGATGGGTGCAGTTGCTTTTATAAGACATGTCAGCTTCAGAATAGCACAATGTCAGTGGTGTCCTTGAAATGGTTTTAGACGCTTGTTTCCCTTGGTGTAGTGTACTGGGACCATAACGTTGCAGCCAGTTTTATGAAAGAGAGAAAATCAACTGTCTTAGAAGAGAAACCTTTCTCAACTCCAGTCAAATACCTGCTTCACACCTACGTACCCAACCGCAACCTTGTGTCCAAAGCTGTCTAGAAGAGCTTAATGCAGGGATTGAAAGGGCATTGGGGGAGATAGAATCACCCCATCCCATCCTTTCAGCCAGGCCACAGCGGTTACTGCATTTCATAGGCAGTAGTGCTTTGGTCCCTTTTCTCCCCACAGTATAGCTACTGGGGTCCTTGTTCTTTATTGACCTTCTGACCATGACCCATGCCTGTCCCCAGGGGCACCCTCCACAGTCCTGGTGGAGATTATATAGCACCAAGTGTGTTGTCTTTCTGAACAGACTAACATGCTTAGCTGTCTCACAGAGCAGGTACGCAGGGTTTTAATTTCATGTTAGACCTTGTACACACCTCAGGGGATGGGAGGATTTTGCCTTAGATGCAAGTCTGGCATTAATAACCATGTCACTTTCTTTGCAGCCAAAACAAATGCATCCCATGATGAAAATGGGGGACTAGACCTAAAATAAACCTCCAGTTTTCATGCAAACAGTAGAGGCTTAGTTAGATCTTTTTTTTTCAGTGGTAATATGCCATTAAGTCTGTACACATAACCTGTCAAGTAATCATCATGAAGAATTTATTATACTGTACTAACATATAGGTCCCAAACTAATGACTCTCTCTTTTATAAATAAATAAATAAATAAAGTAAAACCCTTTGCTCCTTAAGCATCTGGAATGAATTGGAAGAAAAATAATAAAACTTCCCGTGTGAAGAACATTTTCCCACAGCTCTCCTTGAAGAAAAAGAGTATGATCAGGTATCCTCGCACTGACCGTTATGGAATTTCTCGTTAACATCAGCATCTTCCTCAAGAGAACCATAATTTTCCAGAAGGAATTGAGTGAGTCAGTGAATGACGTAATGAGCCTGTGAAACGACAGTTATCCCGTGGTACTAAGCAGAATGAGTCTTGTTGATCTTGGGTTATTATCTGTTAGATAATTACTCTCTATAAAACATCTCCAAAAAGTGGCCCAGCTTGCAGTCATTACACAGCAGGAAAATTTTACTGAATCAGGATGGAACTTGCATTACTGCTGTTCACTGAGTGAAATCACATAGACATGGCAAGGGCTTGCACCAAAGTCCACTGCAAATGCTCCCAGTGCTTTCAAAAGGTTCTGGTTCAGGGCCTAAATGTTTTGGGACTGGGCAAAACATTTTCAAGACCTTTTTTAGGGCCAGGTTATGATCTCTTTAGTCCCATTGGTGAGCAGTTAGCTGGGATCGCTTAAGCGAGTAACATGTCACTAACAGGAATAAGGAGTTCACAGTCTGGCTGTTAGGGTTGTCCATATTTTAATACCCTCTGTCATGCCAAGCTGCTTTCTCTGCTTGAAAAGCTCTTGTTTTTAAAAGAAGTAAGATCATTTAAATAAAGAGGGACCCATGTTCTCTTCCCTTGTCATTCATTTAATTAATTAATTAAGAAAGTGAAATTATGACTTAAAAGCATGCAAAACTCTGACTCATTTCAGTGGGATTAAGATCAAGCCCTAAATGAGGGCTTCATTTATAAAATACCATTTTCATGACTGCTGGCTAAAGGTAGGCTGCTCAGAATTTTTAAAAAGTTTGTCACTCTCCTTTATGATGTATGAAAATGGTCTCAAAGTGTCTATATATAATATTGCATTTGAAATTTCAACTGCTGACATGTCCTTATGCTGTACAATCCAGCATCCTTGCTCCTGTCTCCCAGTTGGAGACTGAAAACTGTACCTCAGGTTTCAGTCTCCTGAGATATCACCATCTAGGTCCTAGAAAGATCTTGCCAAAATCCTCCAACAAACAGATGGAAATGAGGACCTGGTATTCTTGATGTGGTTGGCAACCCTCCAGGATTGGCCCAGAGTCTCCAGGAATTAAAGATTAATCGTTAATTAAATATTATGTCATGTGATGAAATCTCCAGGAATACACCCAACCAAAATTGGCAACCCTAATTCTTGATATTGTTAGAGCAGTATTGTCAACCCCAGTCATTCAAAAATCATGAACTAGGCCCCCCAGAATCATGATCAGTTTAAAAGCAATAACATTTCAAATAAATCTTGGGGTCTTTTTTTCCTTTGCCTGTTGGTTTTTGAGCTGCTGGGGTATTCTCTAGTCATGTTTCCAAACTGTTCTATGCAATCAAGAGGGCTGCAAGCTTACCTTTTAAATTTAAATGAGAGCTGAGATTCTTCAGTAATCTCTTGACTCCTGTAGCTGGAGCTTTAAGAAAAACACCCATTATTGTAATAGTTGTGATACATTTGAGAGACTCAGCAACACTGCTAAAGTAATAAATTAAAAAACCTATCACCCAACTCCTCCCCCAACACAACCTTTGAGAAAATGCCAGTATTGCAGTAGAGTGCATAACAGAGGTACAAAGATGTTTTGGTTTTTTCTTCACAGTGCATCTTCACAGGCTGCGGACCCAGTTCTGAAATTTTCACTCCCAATGAAGCAATTGGAGTTTTGCCCAATTATAAGGACTTTAGGACTGAGTTTCACCTGTATAAGATTATGAAGAAACATACTCTTACAGATTATCGTTGGACTGTCAGATAGCAAACACCATATTGAAAATGCCTTACATCTCCTTTTTTTACTTTTGTTTGTAGAAGAAAATTTCTGATATTCTTGCAAAATCATCTCCAAAACCAGGCATCCCTGAAGACCTACAAAAGCTACTTAATCAACACTTTGGTACTAAACGTTCAGTGATTGAACTAGAAGAGTTAAAACTGCCAGGTAAAATGTGCTGTATCAAAGAGATGTCTTGTGCATTTCCTTCTGCGTGGGGGATGGGGATTCATCTGTTTTAGGAACTAAAGGATTTCTTAATCCAGATCTCCTGAGTTTTATGGGGTTTTATGAGAATTTTTTCTTGTAGGGTATTGCTGTGCTGATTGAGTTGTGAATTCTTTTGGAATAAGTAAGTGGGTTTGTTTTCTAAATGGTGCAGTTAAGGAAACGAAAGGAAGCATTGTTTCAACATATCCAGTCATTGCAGAACATTAATTTCAGGAAGTTTCTTTTTTGATAGAAGTGTGAGGATTTCTAAGTAATGGTTTCCAAGTTACTGAGAGCCAGGAAAATTGGTCTTATTCCTGTGGTTAGTGGAGCTGTACTCAAACATTTAAGATAAGGCTTCACCTGAGCTGAAATAAATTCTAAAGAAGGAAGAATAGTCAGACACCATTCTGAATTAGTTATGGAATGTTGACTACACTGCTCTTATCACCTGTTGGCTTTTTGGTGAGCTATATGAAATGAGTTGGCAGCTTTAGTCCAGCCCTAATGGACGTATTTTGTACCAAAACTGGCTGCTTGTTGGCAGTCTGACTGGAGAGAAACTGGTGAGCCCAGTGATAAAATGGGCAGGGCATGGAGACTGAACTCCCATCTCACTCCACTAAAGGTTTGAGGTGAAGAGGAAACTGTACTGCTGTGCATTTTGTTCTATGAATAAAGTGGAATTAGTTTTCCAGTGCTGTCAATGTGAAGGGGAAGAGGGGGGGTTGTAATAAAAATCCACTTTTCTGTGCTGTCAAAGTGGAGGGGAGGGGGGTTGTAATAAAAATCATTACAATTTTCTTTTTGGTTTAGTCAGAGAGGCCTTCCCCCCCCACCCCCTCGTAGCTTACCTTAACCCCTAAAAACTTTAGCCTAAAAAATTTTGATTCCTTATTTTGAGCCCAAGTTGTAGCATTAATTCTTGTTGTTGGGTTATATAAGAAGATACTCTGAGCTCCTGTTTATTGATATTGTATACTTAGAGTCAAAAGGGCCCCAGTAACAAGTCTGTTGGCTCTTGTTTTATCTCATTGATACTCATTGAACTCTTTGTGCCCTGTGCCCCCACTATGATCCTTTCAGCCAAGCTGCACTCTCAGTTTTTGACTGTTCAAAGCTTGTCTTTCTAGATAACTGCACTCTCTTCCCAGCTTCATGCAGAGACATGTGATCCTAGACTGACCCTCCTTTCTTTCTCTAGGGTTTGCTTAGCATTCTTCTTGAATCAAGGGAGAGTTTTGCCATCCTGCCGCGTTGCATCCTAAAAACCAGAGAAGTCTCTTCCATCCTCTGTATTGCTATGAAGCACTTACATTTTATACTTCTAAACCCATAGGGTTTTGTGCAAATAACAATACTTTGTTGCTTTCCTATTAAGAAAGGCCTTTAGGCTAGTGAAGCGACCCATTTCCATATGGATTGGGTCTTGGGTTGTTTTTTTCTTTCTTTTCTTGAAGGGGGAATTGGAAGCTTACAAAGCCGAAGGGATTGGTGGCTTCTGTAGCTGTCAAGTCATTCGTATCAACTCACTGGGCAGAACAGAGGGCAACTACTTGAAGTTGTTTAGTCGTGTTAGCAAAATACTAAACATAGATGTTCGGGTTTGAGCCAACTTGGTTTCTGGCTGCTGCAAGCTGTAGTTATGTGGTTTTAATCCTTTCTGGGTTTTTAAAGGTATTGTTAACATCCCGGTTCTGCTGGTTTGGTGAAAATAGCCATTGACCCACGACATGCATTTAGTTTCCTTTTGAAATTGGAAAATTAAACTCTGTCCTTCTACATCTTCCTCTGAATTATTCAACATTATTAAATCATTAATATGAGTTACTGTATTCAGACTGGCTAGGCCCTCATTAGCACAAATAATGGCAAAGATAGATTACACAACTGCCCTGAAGGACTGAAGATAGGACAGAACCAAAAATAGACATTTAGAGCTGTGAAATTACTCCTTGTAAAGTCTTTTCTACGCTGCCCTTTGGACTCATTTAGTATTGATAGCTTCACCTTTGGAATTAAAACTGCAGTTTAAACCTTAGTATTTTATCCTACAGTGCTGGGGAGGTGCATCTTGTAAATAAAAAAACCAAATGCATAAATCAAAGACTGATCCTGCAAGGTATTGAGCACGCTCACGTCCTCTTAGACACAGCCCCTAAGTAAACAATTAGGAAGTGACTGTTAATACCAGGGGTCAGATTCTGAATTCTGGTGGTATAAACCTAAGACTGCAGCAATAGAAAATCCACCACATGGAGGGTGCAATGATGGAAAGCAGCTTCCTTCAGCAAATTTAGCTGGCAGGGCTTCTGCTGTGCTTCAGCTATAAATTAAGTCTGCCTTCACATCCACCCTGTCAGAAATGGTGAAGTGAGGTTGGCAGCAATAACATAGCCTCCGCTTTGTTTGAATCTGAGTGCTTCCCCCCTCGGGTGCCTGGGCATCAGTTGACAAGAGATAGCTGCTGGGGTTAATTCGGTCCAAAACACGTTAGCGGATAGATTGAGGTGTTAAATTGTGGGAGCCCTTGGGCTCGTGGGACCCCCACAACGAGCCGGTACTGAGAGCGTGTGGAGTTGGTCGACACTATGCCCCGCTCATGAGACAGCTCATGGTGTCCGACAGCATCAGGTGGTCCAGAGACATCTATACGGAACACATCACGGGACACCGTCAATACCAGGTTGAGTAATCGAGACCACCGACCAGGGAAATAACCCACTTCCTTCCTTGATGAACCAAGGGATGCATCCCACCAATGTACTTATTCGCTACACTGATACTGACTTGGACTCTTAATACATTCCATGGGTGGCGTACCCGAGCCCACTTATCCACTGACGCTTTAAAAACTCCCACACCCCAATCTGGGTCTATGCTGGTTATGTGATATGTATGTATCTCATGATCCTTGTAACCAATACCTGTAATCCCTCATAACTCAAGCCTGACCCCAGATGTACAGTACCTTCCCTCTTAATTTGTGTATGTTTAGTTTTAAACATTAACTTGAATAAAATTTTTAAATCTGTTCTGTTCAATGTTTGGACAAGTAACATGCTGATAATTACACGTGCATCCACAATCAAAATGCTTTCTCATGCTCACTTAATACTAATTATTTAAAACTAGGAGAGACAGAAGGAAAGCTGTTAAACTGGCAAGTGAAGCTCTGGTCTATGATTCAGCTCAAGTTGTTCTGTATTTGCCACTTTGAAATACCTCAGGCTAGAATTTTGTTCCATCCTACTTTAAACCAAATTCTAGGGAGGCACTACAGTTACAGTATCGGAAACAAACTGCCCATTCTTGATATTTCGCACAAATCATGTGGAAGCATATGCCTTTTGTGTCCCCTCATTGAGGTTTTCAGATTGACACCAAATTGCCTTTAACTAACACTTTACAACAAGTGATCAGAGAGATTTTTTAATCCTATAGTTTTATCATTGTCAGAATAAAAAAATATTTAATCTACATGATTACGGACACATTACCAAACATACCCCTCCTAAAGATATGCTTCCTGGAGTGCCAGGTTTCATGCAGCATAATGATGGTGCGGTAGGGTGCATTTGGAAGTCTGTGTTAAAACTCTGAGTTTGTGCATTCTCACAAAAAGGAGGAGACTAATGGCCATTGACAGCTATTGGTTTAACTGAATGGGGATTAGTGGCTGGGTAAAATTTGGCAGATTTATATCTGGGATGGAGAGTGTCATCGAGAGGGCCTCCTAGTGAGGATGGGGAATTAAAATGCATGTCAATACAGTTACTCCTCGCTTAACGTTGTAGTTATGTTCCTGAAAAATGCAACTTTAAGCGAAACCATGTTAAGTGAATCCAATTTCCCCATAAAAATTAATGTAAATAGAGGGGGTTAGGTTCCAGGGAAATTTTTTTCACCAGACAAAAAACTATATATTATATAGACATACACACAGTATACATTTTAAACAAACAATTTAATACTGTTCACAGCTATGATGATTGTGAAGCTTGGTTGAGGTGGTGAAGTCAGATGGTGGAAGAGGGAGGGATATTTCCTAGGGAATGCCTTACTGCTAAATGATGAACTAGCACTTGGCTGAGCCCTCAAGGGTTAACACATTGTTAATGGAGCCTCTCACACAAGGCAGCACGAACACGAGGGAGGGGAGACAGCATAGCAGACAGAGACAGACACACACCTTGTGTGTGGGAGAGAGAGAGAAATGCACACTGCCCCTTTAAATAAGCTGACCCACTCTTAAGTGCATTGTCTTTTTAAGTGGATCAGGAAGTTGAGACAGCAGCTGCTGCCCCAAGTTCTCTCTGACTCTCTCCGTCAGTGTCCCCTCCCTGCTCTATATGGAGAAGGGGTAAGTGGGGTGCAGGAGGAGGGGGGAGGGGGACACCCTGACATTAGCCCTCTCCTTCCCCCCCTGCACAGCAAGCAGGGGTCTCTGGGAGCAGCTCCAATGCAGAGAGCAGGAGCAGCACATGGCAGTGGGGGGAGGGACAGCTGAACTGCCGATTGATAGCCTGCTGGGCGGCTGCAGCACAGGGAACTTAGGGGAGCGGGAAGCTGATAGGGGGAGCTGATGGGGTGCTGCCAGTCCACCCTGGTTACAAGCCCCCACCAGCTAGCTGCAACAGGCTGCTCTTCCTGCAAGCAGTGAACAAAGCAGGCGGCTGCCAAATGACGTTAGAAGGGAGCATTGCACAACTTTAAACGAGCATGTTCCCTAATTGATTAGCAACGTAACAACGAAACGTTTACCGGGACAACTTTAAGTGAGGAGTTACTGTATTTATATAACTGTGATTGAGCATAATTTACAGACTTGTGCAATATGAAAGTCCAGAGAGAAAAGTAACCCCATTGATAAGAGGATGACCCACATCTTACTTTTATTCTATCCAATCCTGATTGTTTTAGTGACTCCTGAATGTAGGATTTGCCATGTTAGATTGGACCACTGGTCCAACCAGTCATAATGGTTCTGGCTGTGACTATCTATAATTATAAGGCCTATGATTCATAATGCTGCATTAACGGTTTTGGGGAAGTCTAGAAATCGCAGTAGGATAGACTGTGAAAAACAGGAAAGCTTGCTAAGCTATATTCCTTTTATGGAGAGTGTATTCCAAATATGGCAATAATGCTGATAAGAAAGTATGCATTACATAATTGTGGTTTTATGCTATATAAGCTGTGCAAAATTCTGTAATCAGGGGGATTGCTAGTTTGCTGGTACCCCCCATGCATGCATGAAAATAAAAAGGCCTCAGGCGATTCTGATCCAAACACAACGCGTGGTCATTTTTCCACAACATGATCGATGCCACAAAGGCATGTGAAAACCCTCCATTATGTATGTGGTCAGTTGTGTAATGCTATATTTACGGTGGGTGAGGAGAGAAAAACGTTCAGATAATTGAGGAGGGAATTAAAATTGTGTTGATAGATTTTACCATGATTCGGTTAAGCAGTTCACAAGCTCATTGCTGTTGCGTAGTGGGGACCACGAAACTCTGCCTTTCCAAAGGCCACTCCACATAGTTTTCAAAGAATAAGCACTACTGGTAGATTTAATCCAAGAAAGATTTAATAGCTATACCTAGTGCTGTACTGTAAACTTATGAATATACTCAATTGTTCTGTTGCAAATCTGTCAACCAAAACATTTTGTGTCTCATGGTTTCAGATTCCTGTTTCCTGCCAGCCAATGACCTCACCCACAGTTTTTCTTCATACCTAAAGGAAAGTGAGTAAAATATTGGTCGCAAGGAGTGTGGAGTTTATTTATAAAAAAAATTTTTAGTGCAGTATTCAAGAGAAAGTAGGATCCCCATGATATACCCAAGATAGTATGCATATCTGCCCACTTAAGAACATAAGAACGGCCATACTGGGTCAGACCAAAGGTCCATCTAGCCTAGTATCCTGTCTTCCAACAGCGGACAATACCAGGTGCCCTGGAGGGAATGAACAGAACAGTTAATCATCAAGTGATCCATCCCCTGTTGCCCATTCCCAGCTTCTGGCAAACAGAAGCTAGGGACACCATCCCTGCTCATCCTGGCTAATAGCCACTGATGGACCTATCCTCCGTGAATTTATCTAGTTCCTTTTTTGAACGCTGTTATAGTCTTGGCCTTCACAACATCCTCTGGCCTGGAGTTCCAGAGGTTGACTGTGCGTTGTGTGACGAAATACTTCCTTTTGTTTGTTTTAAACCTGCTGCCTATTAATTTCATTGGGTGACCCCTAGTTCTTGTGTAGTGAGAAGGAGTAAATAACACTTTCTTATTTACTTTCTCCACACCAATCATGATTTTATAGACCTCTATCATATCCCCCCTTAGTCATCTCTTTTCCAAGCTGAAAAGTCCCAGTTTTATTAATCTCTCCTCATACGGCAGCCGTTCCATACCCCTAATAATTTTTGTTGCCCTTTTCTAAACCTTTTCCAAGTCCAATATATCTTTTTTGAGATGGGGCGACCACATCTGCACGCAGTATTCAAGATGTGGGCGTACTGTGTATTTACATAAAGGCAATATGATATTTTCTGTCCTATTTTCTATCCCTTTCTTAATGATTCCCAACATTCTGTTTGCTTTTTTGACTGCTGCTGCACATTTGAGTGGATGTTTTCAGAGAACTGTCCATCATTTTATACATATAGTTGGGATTATGTTTTCCAATGTGCATTACTTTGCATTTATCAATATTGAATTTCATCTGCCATTTTGTTGCCCAGTCATCCAGTTTTGAGAGATCCTTTTGTAGTCTTTCGCAGTCTGCCTGGGACTTAACTATCTTGAGTTTTGTATCATCTGCAAATTTTGCCACCTCACTCTTTACCCTTTTCTAGATCATTTATGAATGTGTTGAATAGACTGGGCCCAGTACAGACCCCTGGGGGACACCACTATTTACCTCTCTCCATTCTGAAAATTGACCATTTATTCCTACCCTTTGTTTCCTATATTTTAACCAGTTACCAATCCATGAGAGAACCTTCCCTCTTATCCCATGACTGCTTACTTTGCTTAAGAGCCTTTGGTGAGGGACCTTGAAAAAGTCCAGATGCTTGTTGACCGCCTCAAAGAATTCTAGTAGATTGGTGAGGCATGATTTCCCGTTACAAAAACCATGTTGACTCTTCCCCAACAAATTATGTTCCATCTATATGTCTGACAATTTTGATCTTTACTATAGTTTCAGCCAGTTTGCCCGGTGCTGAAGTCAGGCTTACCGGCCTTTAATTGCGAGGATCACCTCGGGAGCCCTTTTTAAAAATTGGCTATCCTCCAGTCATTTGGTACAGAAGCTGATTTAAATGATAGGTTACGGACGACAGTTAGTAGTCCTGCAATTTCACATTTGAGTGCCTTCAGAACTCTTGGGTGAATACCATCCTGGTCCTGGTGACTTATTACTGTTTAGTTTACCAATTTGTTCCAAAACGTCCTCTAATGGCACCCCAATCTGGGACAGTTCCTCAGATTTGTCACCTAAAAAGAATGGCTCAGGTTGGGGAATCTCCCTCACATCCTCAGCCGTGAAGACTGATGCAAAGAATTCATTTAGTTTCTCCGCAATGGCCTTATTGTCTTTGATTGCTCCTTTAGCACCTCGAGCGTCCAGTGGGCCCACTGGTTGTTTAGCAGGCTTCCTGCTTCTGATGTACTTAAAAAAATTTTGCTATCACTTTTTGAGTCTTTGGCTAGCTGTTCTTCAAATTCTTTTATGGCCTTCCTAATTATATTTTTACACTTCATTAGCCAGATTTTATGCTCTTTTCTATTTTCCTCATTAGGATTTAACTTCCACTTTTTAAAGGATTAAAGGATTAAAATGAATCTTGACCTTGAAATATTCATAAATTCAGTTATATTACATCTTTTATGTTTTGCGTGTTTGTATTCTGCAAGATTATTATTTTGCATCAAAATATTTTAGTTTTGCTTTTAAATAATATTTGGGAAAATATTTCTTAATATTTGACCACACTTTGTTAAATATGTAAGGCTATGTCTATGCTTATGGTAGTGTGTAGAGTACATACAATGCACGCCCCCCCTAGCATGGGTATAAATCGCAGTGTAGATGGTGAGGTATACATGAGTAAAGACATGCCAGAACCTTATGGCATATGCCCTACACGGCTCTCTACATGCCCAAGCAGTGCCTCCCTATCTACAATGCTGTCTTTAGCAGTGCAGTGTTCCGCTGCCTCCTTGCTGCTGGAGCCTTCCCCCGCCACAAGGAAAGACTCTGGCAGTGGTGAAAGGCTGGGGGAGAAGGGGGCAAGGGAGCAGAGAGAGGCTCTGGCAGCTCTCCGCTGCTGGGGCCTTTCCCTGCAGCAGTGAAAGACTCCTGGCAGCGTGGGAAGGCTCTGGCAGTGGGGAGGCAGCAGGAAAAGGCTCTGGAAACTTTGTGTAGCTGGAGTCTTTCCCCACTCCCTCCCCCCATCAGAGCCTTTCACTGCTTTGTGTAGCTACACATCTCAGTGTGGACTCAGCTTGCGTTTTTCACTCTGTGGTGTAGCTATGCGTACCCTAAACGCCGCCACTCGTGTAGACAAGGCCTAATTACGTTGTCTTAATTTTATTGTACCATTTCTACCTGTCCCTGGCTACTAGTAATGGGAATTTTTATTCTCTTCTGTCCTGATTAAGTAGATCTGCTTTTACATCCTTGTGGTACAGTTGCAATAAATGTATTCCATTTAACAATTGTTCTCTCTATTAAAGCACTACTATAAATCAAATTGCATTGCAAATTTAGGGTCAAATGAAGTCAGTGGATTTGTGCATGTTTATACAATGGCTGCATTTTGACCCTTACGTAACCTGTTTTCTAATGTAACCTATTTGATAATCATATTTCATTGTTTGGTACATGAGACATTTTGTTTGTTAATTTTTTGGAAATATCTTAATTTACATGTTGTACAAACTGAGATTGTGAAGTAGTGTGCTGTAAGTATATTCTTTCGGCAGGCAGCTATTCATCATGTACTTTAGCATTGCAATATGTATTTAAGTCATAGCTTTCTCTGTGTATTTTGTATTTCTTGTTGCAGTCTGTCCCAAATGGGCAAAACTTCGTAAAACCCACAAGGAGAAGAAGTCTGTGCTGATGCTGATTATCTGCAGTTCTGCTCTCCGTTGTTTGGAGCTCATTAAGTATGTTAAAAGCAAATGTAATGTTGAGACTGGCACCCAGTCAGAGGTTTTGCCTGGAACCCTAGACATAAAGGCAAAACTGGGACAATGTCCTTTGCTAGCCAACAAAATTACTGACTCAACTGATGCAATATCCTTCACTCCTCCAAAGCGTGGTACTGTGGTATTTGGTTTAGACTAAAGTAGAACTTAATAACTCAGCTGCATAGATCTACTGTTTTTGTTACAAACCAAAAGTAAAGTATAGTTGCTGTTAGAAAGACATTCAACCTATTACACTTAAGAACAGATTAAGTGCATAAAAACGCATAGCTCAACACTATCATTTTGAGTGCAGTGTCAGGACATTTCTATGACAAAGTTCACTAGAAACACAGGGCTCTGGGACCTCTGTGGAGACCAATGTGTCTGGCCTGTGTTAGTGTTTCTCAGTCTTTTCAGGTTGGCAACCCCTTCTTCATTATAAAAGTAAGAGTAAAGAAAATGTATCGATAATAGATTGTAATAAATTTTCAGTGCCTCACATCCCCACCCCACTTGGCTTTTGTGACTCTGCTTCCCAGGGTCACGATTCACTGGTTGAGAAACACTGGTCTGTGTAATGTCCTGTTTTCACTTGCCTGGAATACTAGGCCTGCTCTGTGATTCTGTCACTCCTTAGTGACTGATTTACAGAGAATAAGCTTTATTTTGAATTCTGTCTTCTGTGTTTTTGAGTCTTTAGGCTGCACTATGGTGACATGTACAAACTTTTCTCTGCAACCATGAGAGCTAGAATCTTTTTTTTTTATTTTTCCACTGAAGGCTGAGAGTTTCCTAACTTCATTAGCTTGGCCTTAAAGAAAAATACTAACTACTGTGACACTGGTGATAAAATATTGGCTGCTCCATGAAGCTAGGGTCTTCACAAATCCAGCTCTGTTTGCAAGACTGGCACGAGGAATATTTTTTCCCCCTCCCATAGCTTAGACACTCTGGATGTAGTAGCAGTTTTTCTAGGTGACCCAGCCCTAATGCCTGTTTCCCTAGCTCATGAAGCCATAGAATGGAAATGTGAACAGGAGCAAGGAGCTATTTCAGTCCCCCCAGAGTTGCTGATGTCTGTGCACTGTGTTGTTGGTAGGCTAAAGGGCAGGTTGCGGGAGGGAGGTGTGTGACATGCACTGACTGGAGTTTGGATCATCTGCCCCGTATTCTCTCTGCTAGTTGTAATTTGCATCATATTTGTGAGAGCCAGGGGGAAATATTTGCTGGTGACTGAGATGTGTGGAGGTTTCTGCCAGCTTTGAGCAGCCTGATTACTGGCAATGTTGCCAATATCAGAGATGCCAAGGTCATGAATGTATGTATTTGAAAAACAGGGCACTGTACCTTATTGCTTTTTAGCGGGATAAGTGCTGTTTAACAAATGAATGTTGTTCTTCAAGTGTTTGCTCATGTCGATTCTATTTTAGGTGTGCACGCACCCACGTGCGCTCTCATCGGAGATTTTTGCCTTAGCGGTATCCATAGGGTCGGCACTGGCGCCCTCTTAGTGCCATGTTCATGTTCGATATATTAGGCGCTGCCGGCCCTATGCCCTCTCAGTTCCTTCTTACCGCCCGTGGTGGTTAGTTGGAGCTCCTTTCCCTTGCCTGATAGGGGTTAGCAGTTCTTCTACTTCAGTTTTCGAGCCTTAAGGCCTTGTAAATAGTTTGTTTACCGTAGTTAGTAAGTAGTTAGTTAGAGATAGCGTCCCAGGTGGGGCATGCCTTGGTGTCTGGGTTTTAAGCCCTGCTCTGACTGCAACAGGCCTATGCCTGTTAGTGACCTCCATAGCAGCTGCCTCAAGTGCTTGCGGGAATTGCTTGGGAAGAATCAAGTGTCGCATCTGTGAGAACTTTTGTCCCAGGACTCAGAAAGAGCGAGACCCTCCATTTGAGAGCTCTTCTCATGCAGGCTGCTCTCCGCCCAGCGTCTGAGCCTTCCCGGCCAGACTCTGCCCCAAGCACCTCGGCGTCAGCACACCCCCGGCACTGGGCTCTGCCCTGCACTGCTCCCCATCGCCGGTGCCTAAGAAGAGGTCGAAGAAGAGCGACTCCCCAACACTGAGTAAGAAGGGCAAAGGACCCAGTTCAGACCGCCAGCCCACACCGGAGCCACATGAGGACACCTGCCCGATTGGGGCCCCATAGCCCCCCAAGGGATCCGCCGCTGACTCCAGGGAGCGGTAGGGGACCCAGACTTGTGACAGGGCTGACACCTTCCCAGGCTCTCCTGGCGCCCAGAGAGCAGAGGCCGCTGCCCGCACCACATGTGTCCTAGGACATGGCAAAGGCTCTCGGTGATTGCAAGCCAGCTGTATAGACCCCCCAGAGGGCAGGCGAATGATGCCAGTCTCTGGAGACAAGACAGCGCTCTCCGTTTCCACGCCCCAGGTCTCTGTCTTCTGCGGGACGTCCTAGATCGCCGGCACCATGCTCGCAGTCTCCACCCTCTCGACGCGGGTCACCTAGATCAGGGGTTCTCAAACTGGGGGTTGGGACCCCTCAGGGGGTCGCAAGGTTATTATATGGGGGGTCGCGAGCTTGTCAGCCTCCATCCCAAACCCCACTTTGCATCCAGCATTTATAATGGTGTTAAATATATAAAAAAAATTTAATTTATAGGCGGGGGGGGTCGCACTCAGAGGCTTGCTGTGTGAAAGGGGTCACCAGTACAAACGTTTGAGAACCACTGGCCTAGAGGAAGGCACTGGTCACCATATCGCCGTCACCAATCATCCTCCCGCCAACTGTCTCCGCAGCGCAGATCCACATCTCCCAGACAGTGGGAGTGGTCTCTGTCATACTAATCCCCCCGGTCCCAGCACCGATCCTTCTACTCGAGGCACTGGTCTCCTGCGGCGATGGTTAGCCACCAGACACTAGCTTTGACGGCCCCTCCGTGTTCACCTGAAGGTGATTCCTCTGGTACAGAAAGAGAATTCAGCCCCTCACTGCGACAGCACCAGCGCAATTGTGCACTTGAGGTTGCGTTGACCTCCGCGATGCCGTTGTGGCAGCAAGGCCAATGGCCCTACTGGAGCGTGTTGGGCATGCCTGTGATGCTGATGCCTCAATCTGTCCATTTTTCAGCCGCTGCCTCGGAGCAGCAACCAACAGCACCAGTGGCATAAGGCCACTGGTCGTGGGACGATCTGTCCCTCCGCATAAATGTCAGGGAGCTCAAAGCGGTTCACCTGGCCTGTCAGCTTTCCTGTCCCATGTGAAGGGCAAGGTGGTGCATCTCCTTACAGACAATACTGCTGCAATGTATTACATCAACAGGTAGGGCAGAGCCAGGTCGTTGGCCCTTTGCCAAGAAGCACTCCGCCTTTGGGACTTGTCTGTACAGTATGTCATTCATCTGGTAGCCGTGCATCTACCTGGGCCAGGAACAGGTTAGCAGATTACTTCAGCAGGATTTTCTCGTCTCGCCACGAGTGATTGCTCCATCCGGAGGCGGTCAGTGGGATCTTCCGGAGGTGGGGGACTCCCCAGGTGGACCTGTTCGTGTCCTGTCAGAATCTGACATGCCACGTGTTCTGCTCATTCCGGAGATTGGACAGGGGGTCCCTGTCAGATGCCTTTCTGCTCCCATGGTCAGGGGCTCTGATGTCCGCCTTCCCGCCGGTGCCACTAATTCACAAGGTCCTGATGAAGTTTAAACAGGACACAGCAAAGGTGATCCTGGTAGCCTCTGCGTGGCCTTGGCAGCACTGGTTCGGCACGCTGCTGGACCTTCTGGTAGCTGCACCGATGCAGCTTCCTCTCTGGCTGGACCTGCTGTCCCAGAACCAGGTCTTCTGCATCCGAACCTGGCGTCGCTGCACTTGACAGCATGGCTTCTGCATGCCTAAATGAGGAGGAACGGGAATGCTCAGCCCATGTCCAACAGGTCTTGTTGGGTAGCAGAAAGCCCTCCACCAGAGCAACCTGCCTGGCTAAGTGGAAGTGGTTCAAATGCTGGACCTCAGCCCAGGATATCCATGCTGAGCAGGCTTCGCTGCAGGCAATCCTGGACTATCTTCTGCACCTCAAGCTCCAAGGACTGTCCTTGTCATCAGTGGAAGTCCACTTGGCCACTATTTGGCCTTCCACCCTCTGCCCCAGGGCAGGTTGGTCTTCACTCACAACATGACAGTCCGGTTTTTGAAAGGTCTGGAAAGTCTCTACCCTCATTTCAGGGATCCTGTCCCTCCCTGGGACTTCAACCTCATGCTGTCGTGGCTCAGGGATCCTTCCTTCGAGCCTCTAGCTCCCTGCTCCCTTCTCCTCCTCTCCTGGAAAGTTTCTTTCCTGGTCACAATAACATCTGCCGTTAGGGACTCTGAGATCAGGGTGTTTACTTCAGAGCTGCTCTATATGGTGTTTTACAAGGACAAGGTCCACATCTTCATAGCCTCACTGATGTAAGATTTTCTCTGAACTTTCCCCCTGTTTGCACACAGATCCCTGTCAGCACACACACTCATTCTTCATACACAGAACTTATTTGTTCATAAGGACTTCTCTGAGCCACCAGATGGTGCATCCAGTCACTCTGCTTCTGCTGTGCTGAAGTCTCTAGTCCCTTCTGGGAAGGGAGCCCAAGCTTCGTCTTTCACTCAGGTTCTGTGCTAACCTCACAGCTGACTTCACAAGGCTGGGCTTTGTGCTGGTAGGGTGACATCACAGCGCAGAACTGAGATGTTGTCTCTGCCATCTCTTTACATTGTCCCCGATGTGGACAGGAGTGTTACTCCCTTACTTAGGGATGGAAAGTCTTTCGGTGACTGACAGTGCGTGGAAGTCTCATTCCGCACTCCCCGTTGTTGGGAGAGTGGAGCAGAAAAAGTCTGAGTTTCCCTCTCTCTTCTGTCATATTAGCTGCACAGTTATTCATCTCTGGTTCCTCCTGTGCTTTTCTTTCTCCTGCTTTCTTTCCCTTTGCCATCATTGATTCTAGATTTTGTGGGCTCTGTTTTTGTTTTCCATGTTTCGCTGGCATGTAGGTCGTGTCCCAGCTTCTATCCCATCCCATCCTGCTGTCTGTCCCAGTAACCATTCCTGTGTCTGATCCACCTCGTTGTATGGTCGCTTTCCTTTCTCTCTCATTTCTCTGAGACCAGTATGGTGTCTGCATGACCCTTCTCCTTAGTTGGTTTCTGTCCAGCAATTGTTGTTAATTTTATGCTGAGGTGCTGCTACTGCCCCTGATGCTCCCTGGGCCTTGTAACTTGTGAAAACCAGGGTGAGGATACTGCGGGAACAGGCTCTGGTGTATCCACATTCGCTCCGTTTGATTCCACAGGTATAGAGTTGATGAGATTTGTATATTGATTCAGGAGATTTGAAAAGCTTCCTGCCCAAACCTGACTTCCCCAACAGAAGGTATGGAAATCAGGATTTGTTTCTCTTTCCCCAGTCTCTTGATGAGAAGTGTCGTAGTTTCTGTGACACATATCGCTAGATCAGTGGTTTGCATTCTCCACTCTGTACTCTTGATCCGAATATCCAGGCTCCTCTGCTCCCAGCTTTCCCAATAGCAGATGCAGATCTTGCTATCCCACAATACATCATGGAATGAAGAGTGGAGAAGTGCAAGGCTGGGTTGAAAGGCATGAAAACTCTGGTCATGTCTCCTCTCCTAGCTCCAGAACTCACATGATGACAGTTGAATCTCAGCATTGTTTTAAAAAAAAGTTTCTAGACTTCATGGTTGTAAAGGAAGGCTTTAACATGTGACTTGCATGTCAGTGGTGCATTGATTTCTTCCTGAGTGCAGGAAAAAGCCTATTTCAACTGGAGTTTTGTAAGCTCCATACTCATTTTCTCCTGCTGAGTTTATTATACAGATCGTGACATTTTCTATATATAGAACTATGTCCCAAATCAAAGGCTCAGGACGCAATTCTGGTCTTCTGATAAAAAGAGTTGTGGTCAACATGGGTGTGGATATCAAGGTTCCTTTGTGTAGTAAGGGTTATGACAGCCCAGAAGGGATGATTTTCCTAATAATTGCATAAATAAATTGTAATAACTTAAATTTCTGGTTCAGAATGCTTTCTGGTGTGCCTATAATTCAATAGTGAAATCATTCTTTTATTTAAATTTGGCAATTGATTAGTCAATAGTCTTGAAATAAATCAATTGTAAAAGTACAGGTTCTTTAAAAATTACATAAATATCTATCAAAAAGATATACGTAAATTACTCCTAAATTGTGCCCCCTAGTATGTAGGTCTGGTTGTAGATCATTACAAGTACCAAATATAGATTTAAATAATAATTTATTGGCATGTTTTCAAAGCACAAATAGGAGTCAATGGGAGTTGGGCACCTAACTCATTTAGACATCCCATTCTAAAGCTCTAGTTTTAACTATTTTTGGTTTCCTCTTATACCTGTTATACACTCCAAATCCGAGTTCTGGTGTTTGAGTTAATTTTTAATTTATCCTCTACTAGGTCAATGACGGCATTCAAAGGAGACTGCAAAGTTATTAAATTGTTTGCAAAACACATAAAGGTAAGCAAGTTCAGCACTAGTTTTGATGAAATAGCTAACCAATCACATGCCATTGTCTTCGGTGTGATATTGTAATGATACTTTTCATGGACATAGCTCCTTTCTTTAGAAAAGGGCTTCCTTTCTGTTAGGGTGACCAGACGTCCCGATTTTATCGGGACTGTCCCGATATCTGCTTGTTTGTCCCGCGTCCCGACTGATGTTCGGCCGGGACACTGGACAAACAAACAATTTTGCCCTCCGCTCCGGCGCTTGCGCCCCCCCCCCCGCCCTGACTCCGCCCCCTCCTTCCCCCATTGGATCCCTCCCCAAATCCCTGCCCTGACCCCGCCTCTTCCCCAAGCACTCTCTGGGCACGCTGCAGCCAGCCCGGTCTGCTCCCCTGGCGGCAGCTGGCTCAGCGTGTGGGGCGGGTGACTGAGGAGGGACCGGAAGCCGGAGCTTGGCCGCTGGCACGCAGAGCCTCTTCCTCAGCAGGTGGGGGAGCCGGTCCCCTGCCCGTCCCGCCGCAGGGATGAGGCACACTGGGCTGGGTAGTGAGCGGCGGCGGGAGGGGCCTGGCCTGGGCTGGGGCGAGCGAGACGCGTTTGCAGCCGCCGCGCCGGGGGTTCCCAAGGCGAGGCAGGAGCTCAGCCCCTCCGCGGCCGCGCGTCTTCCCGGGACCTCGCCTGCCTCTCGAGCCGCCCCGGGGCCCCTCCGCCGGCAGCCGAGCCCAGCCCAGGCCCGCAAACACCGCGTCGTAGCACTGCTCTCCGCGCCCAGCGCTGCCTGGCCCCCTCCAGCCCGGCCCTGCACGCCGGCAGCCGGAGCAGCCCCCAGCCCAGGAAGGGGTTTCTCAAACCTGCCCCCGCGGGCCGCCCAGCCCGAGACACCTTCCACGCTGGGCTGCGCCGCCCTCCGGCTCTGGCCTGAGGGCAAGTCCCGGACAGTCCAGTGGCCCCGGGGAGCCGGAAAGGTGGACTGGCTTTCCTCACGGGGGTTGGGGAGCTTTGGTCTGGGGACACCAGAGCTGCTAGCTGAGAAAGGGGCTGGTCTAGTGACTAGTGGAGCTGTGCAGGGCTCTGTGTGTGTGCGTGGGGCGGGGTGACCAGTGTCTGTGCAGGGGTGTGTGTGTTTGGGGGGGGGCAAGCCGGGCGGGCACGGGCCCACGGCGGCCAAGCTGCGGCAGAGTGTCTCCAAGATGTAGCGGAGGCAAGCTGGTGGGGGGGGGGGGGGGGGGGAACTCCGGCGGCTTTTTTTTTTTTTTGCACTCCCTCCCCTCCTCCCCCCCTCCCCGTGTCCCGATATTTCACCTGGGTGATCTGGTCACCCTACTTTCTGTACCCCAACAGCACAGTTCTGGGCATTCAACCAAGCAATTCCTCTGATGGCTCCTCAAACTCTCCTCGTGCCCCTGTGGTTTTTTGTGCAGCATGGGCACCTACGTTAAGATCAGAACATCCATCAGTAACCTGCGTGGTATCCAGTCAAACATTCTGTGCCTCAAATCAGCCTCTGATTTTGTGCCTGCTTAAAAACCAAAACCAAAAAGCATGTGCGTGTGTTCCCATCCACAAAACTCCACCTTCACCCACATTGATGGGTGCAAATCAGGTAGTCAGGTGCTCAGCTACCCAAAGCAAATGCCTGTTTGTGTGTACAAATGATAGGTGTGTTTTGCAAGCAAGGAAATCAGAGACAGTGGGTGAAAATTTGGCCTTCTATATAAATACTGTCAAACAGGTAAATGTCACACACAGTATATTTCATTCTTCTCCAGTCTTGGGCAGATTAGTGTGACTCCAGTTTTACATTAACTTTCCCCAAGTTGTGTGCTCTCCATTTAGTTCTAGAGGATTGATTTAATTGTTGGGAGGCCAATGCTATTCAGACCTTAGAAAAAGTATTTAGGGTCAGATTTTGAAAAGCACAATCGAGTGAATTTCAATTATTGACTTTCAAAGGGAGTTGGACACCTCACTGCCCTTTGTGCCTTTCCCCCATATGTACCAGTTTTACAGTCTGAGAGATGAACAGTGTGTCTCTTACTGTCTGAATATACAGTGCTTTAGCTTCCACACGCTAACTGTCCGTGTGGACCCCAGTACCACATACTAAAAGTTCCTTAGTGTGCTTATGGAACTCTTAATGCATGATAGCAGGGTCCACTGGGACAGTTACGCGCAGCAGGCTAGAATACTGTAGATTATACCCCAGTTTGCTGTGCACTACTTCTCCATATGGACCTGGCTTTAGATGGTGTTTTAAGAGGAGTAGTTGTGCTACTTGGAATTTACCTCCAATGTGGAATAAAATGTTCTTTAAGAGGGAATCCTAAACTCTTGTGGGTTTACTGATGCAACATTTTCTTTTTCTGTCCTTGAATTAGATAAAAGAACAGATTCACATGCTGGAGAATGGTGTCATCCACCTGGGTGTAGGAACACCTGGAAGAATAAAAGCACTAGTAAAACAAGGTAGGAGAGGAGGCTGGAATGGGCTCTGGTAATGGACATGTTGCACATGGCAGAATAAGTGAAACTTCAATAGAGTTTGAAGGTTCTGGACTAACCTGAGTCAGTGAATTTGGGGATCTACTCTCAAATGCAGGTCAAGAATATTAAGTTAAAAATCCAGGAAGCCGAACACAGTGGCTTAGACAAAAGGAACTATGCTATGCACAATTCTGAGTTCAATTTCAGCTTTTATTGAAAAACCCTCCCAAAAAATCTAGATTTACTTGGTCTTTCAGTTTATTATTCCCAATCTCCTCCCAGGCATGAAGTTCTTGAACAGGAAGTTAGTTTATCTGTTTAACCCTCCTTCTCCTTCCCAAATCTAAGTTTTTTTCCTGCCATATATTTTGCTTCCTAAATAGATATTTGCAATAAAAACAAAATGTAGTGTAGATATCACAGGATACTAACCATGGTCCCATCATGGTAGTTCCTTCTTTGGGTCAGTTGGCCAAGCTATACCCTGCTCAAGGGTGGGAGCTGGCTCTGGCATGGGACTCCACTGTTTCTCCCTCCAGGAAGCACAGGAACAGTGAGATGTTTCATTGTTGCTGTCTTTTACAACAGTGTTAAGATATCCCAATTCAACAGCACATAGAGCTGATGTTGCTGCATCAGCCCAAAGATATGTCAAGAGGAGAGACGGTGGGCTAGGACCAGAAGTTGACCATGTGTTCTTCATGTCTAGAGCTGTTTGACAGTTCAGTGCTGCCACGGGAGGTTACTGAGAAAAAGCTAGCAAGAAAAATTGTGGACATTACCCACTAGATATGGAAGAGTTAGCAGGGCTGGTAGAAGGTCATTTCCCAAAGAACCATCTGCCTCCATGTTTCCTTCCATTCAGATGGAAGATGACCAAAGCCCTTCACAGTGCCGCTGACCTGAAGCTTATTTAGGGCCTGATTGTGCAAGTTTCTGAGCATCCTCAATTCCCACTGATAGGCTCTTGCTGGCTCAAGTCCTTATAATTTACCAACTTGTCGTCAGCCATGGAAACTCAACTCCTGTGGTTTCATGAAGAGGAAGTCTGGGGAATTCTTTGCAGGCAGGATATTGGCTCTTGACAAGCCTGGCAACAGCAGTTGCTCTGCTTTTGTGTTTATCTTCTCGAAAAGGCATGGGATTATGTGGTAAGGAAGTTTACAGTGTCATTGTGTTTTCCAACCAGCAAATGTAGTGCTTAATGTTTAATGCCCTGGGAACAGACTGCAAAGGATGCAAAAGTCAAAAATCATTTTGATAAGCACATGTCATTTTATCTTTATTATAGTAAGACTTGCACTGTCTTTTCAGATGGCCTAAGCTTGAACTCCTTGAAGTATCTGATTTTGGATTGGAACTGGAGAGATCAGAAGTTAAGGAGAATGATTGATATCCCTGAGGTACAGTATGGTCACCTTTTAAAACAATGACGTAATTATATGAACCTTTCTGTCTAGACGTAGTTAACACTTGAAATGCTGGGAAGTCAGGATTTTCTTCTGTGAAACTGACTTCTGGTATCAGTACTCAAGGAACACAAAGGAATTAGCTTTTTACCTATAATTCTGCACCTTGGGTTCTCGAACTCCGAACTAAGGCACTTCACTTCTTCATCTCTCATCTCATGAGCTGCAGCAAACAGTACCAATGTGTTCCAGCGCCCTCTACCAATTTTTCCTGCTCAGATGTCTGTGAGTTAGTAGTTCTGCCCCTCCCAGAGACTCTCAGCAACCAGCTCCTGGGAGGAAAGTTTTCCTCAGAAACGGAAGAAAAGGAAATAAGATTCAGCAGCTTTTGAGGACACATTTACTGACTCCAAGATGGAAGGAGCACATTGGCCTGTTGAGTCACACTACAGCCTCGTCTAGAACAATATGACACCATAAAACAGCAAATGTCATGGGTCTGTAAGCCACTGGTAGAGCCTTCTCATCCTGACAATTCCATGTGCTTTTCAGTGGCATGTTGCAGCACTCACATTGTTAGGTGTGCAGCGTTGTGCTGTGGTATTGTGCTATTTGATATGTAGTAGGCTATATAGATAACCAGTATTCAGCCCAGAGAGAGAACTGACCACAAGTCTCTCCAATCAGTATGAAAAGGCTACCTCTCTCCTGTGCATGCATGGGTAACGTCTAAACGGCCAGTGTCTGGAGCCTCCAGAGGACAATCCCTTTCACAGGCAGCACAGACCTCTTTCACAAGGAAGAAAATTGTCACCCACCTTGCTCTGTATTTTAACATGTTTTTGACTGTGTTGTATCACACCACCACGTGCGCAAGGTTGTATTTCTCATGCTCCAGGATGAACTACAGTGGGATAGCTGTGGCCTGCTAAACCCAGGGTTGTGAGTTCAATTCTTGAGGGGGCCATTTAGGGATCTGGGGCAAAAATCTTTCTGGGGATTGGTCCTGCTTTGAGCCAGGGGTTGGACTAGATGACCTCCTGAGGTCCCTTCCAACCCTGATATTCTATGATTCTATGAAAATACCTCGAAGAAGTCAAGTAGCAAAAAGAGCAGCTTCACTTAATGAAGCAAAGAGGCTCCCCCTTGTGGTAAATCATCAATAGAAATCTCAAGGTGTGAGTTTGATAGGGTACTTGCATTAAAACGGATATGTAAGCCATTTGGACACTGATGAACAGATCACAGAAATATTAGCAAAGGACACTGGCACAAAGCTCTACTATTATGAAAAGTGCTATGGGCTCATGTGAGTACAGATGGACCAGGGTTTCTGTGAGTCAGCCACAGGCAGCAAACTGCAGCCTCTGGCTGATCTACCTGGATTTGAACCTGTGCTATTGCAAACCTGAGACTGAGGCCTCCTAGCCATTCCTTACAGCTTAACTAAACATTTGTTCTGCAGGGAACATGCCAAACTTCCTGAATAGTATCTAGCCATGGGGAGTAGTCCTACAACTGGGATGCTGCCTGGATAACAAAATTGTGACTCAAACTATATTTAACTAGAAAAAAATAATGTAACGTTAAGCATACAAAATTAAAAGCCTAGGAATTGTGCAAGTTAAGGATGAATGTGTAACACCAACTTTGCCCTTTTGTGCATCTTCTGCATTATGGAACAGCCTTCAATCACATGCTGTGTCTCAGATAATACAACATACAGGGTTTCCCCCCAACAATCTTGGATATGTATATGAAGCATCTTGTAGTACAATACTTTGTACTACTGCATATGCCAGAAAGAGTTCAGGAAAATCATTTATATGAAAGGTATGTACTAAACTGTACTCAGATAGCATATTACAGATAAAATGTCATAACAGGGCAATAGTGAATCCCATCAGGTGCTGGCAAAGGCAAGACTTTACATTTGGAGTGAAATCTCATTGAGCCAGGCACCTTGTTTTCCTACTTGTGTGTAAAATGCCAAGAACACTATAAATAGTAATAAATAATAACATGATAGTGCCAGATTTTCAGAAATGGCTTCCAGTTTGTGGACCTGCAAAAATCACACAACTAATTGGTATCCACAGTTAAGTGAAGGTGGGAGTGATGATAGTGTGTAACTGCTAGCAACTTAGTCAATTAGCAGACTCAGTCAGATAATGTACTAATTCTTTTGTATCCATAATTAATCATGGATGCAAAATTGCACCAATACAATTGGGGACCAGGCAGAGGCACTTTTACAAGATGGCCCTGGTTTGTTCAATAATTTCTGTCTGCAGAATAACTTTTGGTCCTGTAGAATTAACAGGATTCATTACTGCATCTTACTGTAAATATGGCAGTACTATTTGTTTAAATACATAGAAGCCAAGGAGCACTGGAAACACAAGCATATTTTTATATTAGCGTACGGAAAAACTCATAGCCTGATTTTTCGGAGGAGTGAAGCGCCCACAGCTCCCTCTAAATGCACACTTACTTCATTTCCAGGGGAGAGTGGAGAAGGCAGCAGAATAGGACGGAGGTTGTGGGCTAAGAACAATGCAGAGAGCAGCCCTTCTTGGGCACGTTGGTGTGCAGGGTTAATTTTTTACCAGGTGGAGTTCTAATAAACACACGAGTTTAAAAACAAAAAACGAAGCCCTCCCATGCCTTGGTTCTAGACCCCACCACATCTGGAGAGGACAGGGACATCCTGATGCTGGGTTCTTGCAGTGTCACAGGCAGAGTTATGTATTCTTCCACATTTCCTAACTTAACGTTGGGCAGACGTGTAACCCTAACATCACATTAGGGAAAGTTGTTGTATGTTCATGTCCCTGTTTGCCCCTACCTGCACCCTAAATAGGAGGGAGAAAAAAGGAGACATTCAGAATAATCAGGCTAGAAGAGCTTACAAGGCTTTCTCCTGAAGAACTTCTAAATTCTGCCAAAGCATAACGAGCCCAATACAGTCTGGCTTCACAGTCTAAACTGCCTATAGACAAAGTTTTCTGCATCAGAACTTACTACGTAGATATTGGCTGCAATACAAAATAGTAGCCTAGCTCCCAAAGTTGACAAAAGTTCCAAGTGTGGAAGAAACATCAAACTGAGCTTTTCAAACCCTTTTGTAACCCCATTACATTTGTTCTTTTTGTAAACAATATAAGGGCTGAGCCTTCAGTAAGTCTGAAAATATCAGCTTGTGAAGTTCAGCTATTCAAGTTACGGGAGCAAAAAAGCTTTTAAAATGTATCTCAAATGGAGAGATGATTACCCCCCACCCCTTTATATAACTCAAAAAGGGCAGAACAGAAATTTGCCAGGCTTTCCCACACCCTTCATCTCTGGGCTGAGCTGAAGCATGGAAACATTCAGCCCAAAAGGTGAACTTCTCTGTAAGGTGTAGTCAGGGTTATAATGAAAGCCCTGGTGTAACCATAACTGCAGTGGAGCTCCTGGCCTTGCTATGGTGTTAGTCGGTATTTCCTCTCAAATACATCTGGTGGTCTTAAAAGCAGATAAGCTAAAAGAGACATTCATCTAAATAGGTAGTTTCTAGAGTTTATTATATTTCTTTTGTAAAACTTGCGTTTGTGTGTGAGGGTCCCTCCTTTACTCAGCCTCTAATAAAACTCGTGTAGCTAAGCAGAATAACTGTGTGTGTGCAGAGCACTTTCAGTAATCTTCCTAATTCATGTCTTGTTTAATTTTTGTTTCCTTCAGATAAGGAAAGAAGCAATTGACCTTCTGGAAATGGGAATTATAAAGCTGTGCAGAGAGGATTCTGTGAAGCTGGGACTCTTTTAATGGTGTAACTAACACGGATGCAATTTACTGCTGTATTTCACTTATCATTGTCTGTAGTAGGCAACTGTTCAGTGGCTGACTGGATTCAGTTCTTCCATTTCTGAGTTGCTTAGCAGAAATGCGTATTACAATGTTTATCAGCTTCTGGCCGTCTTATAATAAAGCAAAGGTTTGCATGTAGATTCTGTACCAGGGATTGTTATTGCCTGAACAGTATGTTACTGAAATTAGATGTATGTTGCATGTAAAACAGTAGGTGTGGGTTCTCTACTACCCTTAGGACACTGAGGATGAGTGCACTTGTCCTGAGTGAATCCCACAGCCACTCTTCTTCTTCTGTCCCCTCCTTCCACTCTTCCAAAAGGAAACCTTCACTCCCTCTCTAAGAGTGATAGAAGACAGCCCATGCCAGTTCTGGGCACCTCTGGCCCAGAAATTCCCAACCCTCACTGTTGCTGCTTCCTAGCATGCAGAAGGCATCTGGCCATTACAGAGACCAGTCCAGAGTTAGTCAAGAAGTTTTAGCCATATCGCTCCTTTAGTACCTTATGTAGCTACCCCCACAGCATGTTGATGAGTTAGAGCTCTCTTGTCCTCCACAAACCCTGTCACTACATTATATCATAAAGATGCGTGCTGGAAAATAACAGTGGCTCTTGCACTCTCACCACTGTTCATGCTAGGGCAGGAAACTTTGAAGGCTAAGTGCTTCTTAAGATAGAAAAATTACCATGATACCTACAGCATAAAAACGGTCTAATCTTGCAACTCTTACTCATCTGAGTGATCCCACCAACCAGTGTTGCTATTGTCATGAGATAGAAGCTGTAGGATCATGACCATATCTGCCGCTGACAAATCATGTGATATATGATGAAGACTGGCAAAATTTGCTGAATACTATTCAACCACCGCTGCACATCAAAGTTAGTGCCTGTTAGTGGGTACTGTGTTGCTGTAGGGACCATATTTCAAATAGACACAAAACTGAAGCCCTGACCACTTGTGGTGAGTAAAAATCCTATAGCCCTTTTCATGAGGTTTATCTGGTTTCCACATTATCAGTAAATAAAGCATTTGTTACTAGAATTTTAGTTAATTTTGATTACTATGATGTCTGAATACAATTTGCTGTCCCTTGGCTGTGTTGGCTCTATAGAGCATATAGAGTAAAACATGTTCATTGGACTAGTTAGCAAAATATGCATATCTGTAGTAGGGAACACTCAAATTGATTGAAAAATGAAACAAAGTTTTTAGTAAACATTTCTGGGTGCTTTTGGCTAAAAGTCAAAACTGCCTGTACTTGGATGATTTAATAGGAATTTATTTAATCAAACATTGATGTGATCTGTTAACAAATTCCATTTATAATGCATGTCAGCCAGTGAGTACGAGGGAATATACTTTGGGATACAGTCTGAACTATTTAGCTCTTGTTCTGTCAAGCCACTTACTACACTGCTAGATCTGTACCTTGACCTGCAGCTTCTGTGTTGGTTACGTTGTTGACTAGATTGTGGTCAGGCCTAAGGTGAGGTGATGAGAAGAGGGTACAATGATCTTTCCTTTTGGGATCTTGTGCTCCCAGTGCAAAAGGGGGAGGGATGCACAGTACCAAAACTAGCACTGGAGAACTCAAAGGGGGCTATAGCAACTCTCCAAACGCTGTGCCCTTACAAAGGGCGTTGCAGTTCCTGCCTTGGTAAGTTCTCCAGCAGAGACTCTCACTGGGTAGGAGCCTTTCACATTGTCATCCAACACAGCATTCTCTTGTAAAAGCCATTTTTGCTTTTGATAACACTGCTCTGTTTAGGGTGACTATGGAAATAAAGGAAAGAGAGAGCGTAAGGGATCAGACTGTGTACAGATCTTTCAAGTAGCAGGCAGTGCCCCTGCAAGTGATCAATAGCTCAGAACTTAGTGAAACCTAATAAACTCTTTACAGTAGAACCTCAGAGTTATGAACCCCAGAGTTATGAACTGACCAGTCAATCAAATACCTCACTTGGAACCGGAAATACGCAATCAGGCAGCAGCAGAGACCAAAAAAAGAAAACACAGTACAGTACTGTGTTAAATGTAAACTACTAAAAAATAAAGGGAAAGCCGCATTTTTCTTCAGCATAGTAAAATTTCAAAGCTGTATTAAGTCAATGCTCTGCTGTAAACTTTTGAAAGAACCATAACATTTTGTTCAGAGTTACGAACATTTCAGAGTTACAAACAATCTCCATTCCCGAGGTGTTCGTCACTCTGAGGTTCTACTGTACTAAGTGGTGCAGCAGAAAAAGACTCTCAGTGACTTTCCCAGAGTGTCCGGAGTGTCTAGGGTGCAGTCTCTATGACTCTGACTAAAGTACATCGTGGCTGATAGGACCAGCTGATTAAGGTGATTGAGGTCACCAACGGACAAGATGAGCCTGTACTGAGGAAGAGAGGTCTAGTTAATGAGTAATTCCAGGAAGTAACAAAGGTTTATAGAAACAACACAGCCTTCAACATCAGAGAGAGTTTTTAAGTTGAGACCAAGTCCAACACAGACACCCTTACCCCATCCCCACCCCCCAAAACACACATCCTTCTCCAACGGCAACAGCATGAAAAATAAGAACAGCCAAGGAGCACAGGAAAGTCCCTCCAGATGTCCAGATAACAGCGCATTTAAACAACAGAAACTGCCAGCCTGGAAGCCCAAGCTCACAGCTCCGACTGTCCTCTCCAGCTTCTTTACCATTGGAGTCTTCTGCCTCCTCGTGGGAATCTGCCTAATATTGTATGCAAGAAGTGTCAAAGAAATCCAGGTTTGTTTGAGGTGGTTTTCTTGAGGAGTGTTATTAGAGAGTGGCTCAAAGGGGGGTAGTAATTCTATCATGGATGTACTCCCTTTACCCAAGGGTGTCAAACGAACCCACAATACCCCATGTGAAAGTGGGCACCATTAAAAAGTCAGTATTTGCTAATTTACCAGATGGCAATATCTGGGACATTGTCATTTGTCCCTGTGCTTAGGGGAGGAAATAAACTGTGGTAACTTTGGTATTGTTAGGCACTAGAAAAATGTCAATAAATATTTGCCAAGCCAGAATCCTAAAACACAAAGAGATTCTTCATGTGTTAATGATGGCTGCTGCAGGTAGAGCAGGTTGAATATTAAGGCCAATTTCAAAATCAAAGTATTAAATTCAATCCACTGACTTGTTACCTCCTATTATTTTGTTCTTTATGAGTGTTTAGACAGCTAGTATTTGTGTAAATGATCATGAATCTTGAAAGTTTCACAATTCTAGCAAAAATTATTACTAAGCTGATAAATTGTTTTTGAAATGTGTTATATGTTTTTCTCTAGTTTTGAAAATTTGTCATCCAGTTGGGAAGTAGTACAATACTATGTGTACCAATCACACACCCTGGATAATGAATAGACAGCAAAAAAACAAAAACAAAAACAACAGGATTGGTTTGTGTCTGACTTGTGAACAGAAAAGAGGAATAAATCTGCAACTCATAGTATTCACAATGAATAATTCAACCTGTTTTAGCTGTAATTAGGTAATTTAATATCAGTTTTACGGGAGGGGGGCGGGGAATGTTAAAACAAAGAATGATTTACACTAGGTCTCACAGCAAGTCTGTTGGCCAGCACACTAGGCTCCCAGTTCTCTCTTCAAACCGCTAAACCACATTGCCATCTGTGATGTACATACTGTATACAGCACCCACTAGAATTGACACGGACAGCTAGATTATTTCTTTGTTTGGCCTGTGGGGTGAAAAAACCAAACAAAATAGTACATGGTGATTTGCGTGGGCCGGTTACCTTACAGGAAAAAAATGTGGCTTGTTTATCCATTAGGATGGTCTCACAGCCCAAACTTTGCCTCTTATATTTTGTAGTCTGAGCGTACACTGTAATGGATAAAAATATAAAAAGAAAAAGAAATTGTCGGTCCTTATTATGAATTTTTGCTAAATGTTATAGTAGGATGGTATTATTTTTCAGTTATTAAGTGCACTTGTTTTGGATGAAAGGTGCTAAATAAATGCAAAATATTAAATAGAGTGAGAAAAGAATGCTATTTTCAATATAGTGTTTGCCCCAGTTACTGTGGACCTGACTCTCACCCCTGCTTTGCTCTCTTTGTGCTGCTCAGGTGGCACAAAAAGAGCAGAAACTGGTTTCATCCCCCACACTCCAACTGGGGATTCCCTTGTTTGTTGTTCATTTATTTGCCGAGGGTGCCCGGTGAGTGCAGCGCCAGCATAACTGGCTCCTATAGCAATCCCCCTGCAATTCAGGATTAGAGGGTAGGAATCCAGAGCACTCCGGGTATTGTCATCTGCCAGACAGCCCCTAGGGATTGTTACCAGTTGATGGAATCCAGGTCAGCCCTCAGGGCAATCTAAACTCCTCCCATGCTGGCAGAGAGCCAGCTGGAGAATCGGGGTGGAGGGGAGGGCATTGGCGCCTCAGCAAGAACAGGGTTTAAGTTAGGGATAGAGTTTTCAAAAGTGTCTTTGGGACTTAGAAGCCTAAATCTTACTGACATCCAATGAGATTAAGGCTTCTAAGTGTTGAAGTCACTTTGGAAAATAGGACTTAGGTTCCTGAGTCTCTTAGATGCTTTTGAAATTTTCACCCCCAGTCGTGTGCATGCCCACATTGAGCAAACCTGAAGAGAGAGGGCCGTTTGTAGACCCTGACAGCTGACTGTCTAGTTTTTCCCAAAGGGGGGTTTTACAGCATATAATCCGGGGTGGACAAAACTTTTTGGCCTGAGGGCCACATCTGAGTGGGGAAATTGCATGCAGGGCCATGAACGTAGGGTGCAGGAGGGAGTGCGGGGTGTGGGAGGGGGTGCGGTGTGGAGGAAGGGGCTCAGGGCAAGGGGCTGGGGCACAGGAGGGATGCGGGGTGCAAGGAGGCTCAAAAAGGGGGTTGGGGTGCAGGAGGGATGCATCGGGGGTTGGGGTGCAGGAGCTGTGCGGCAGGGAGTTGGGGTGCAGGATGTAGGAGGGCTTTGGGGTGCGGGCTCCGGCCCGGTGCCACTTTCCTAGAGCAGCTCCGGAGTGGCAGTGGCGTGCAGTGGGGCTAAGACAGGCTCCCCGCCTGCCCTGGCCCCGCGCCGCTCCTGGAAGCAGCTGGCACCATGTCCCTGCGGTCCCTGGGGGAGTTGGGGGCAGAGGGCTCCGTGCACTGCCCTTGCCTGCGGGTACCTCCCCAAAGCTCCCATTGGCTGTGGTTCCCCGTTCCCGGCCACTGGGAGCTGCAGGGGGCGGTGCCTATAGGCGAGGGCAGCGCACGGAGCCCTCTTCCCCCAATTCCCCCAGGGGCCGCAGGGACATGGTGCCAGCCACTTCCAGGAGCAGTGCGGAGCCCGCGGCGCCACCGGGGTGGCAATCCCACGGGCCAGATCCAAAGCCCTGATGGGGCTTCGGCCGTAGTTTGCACACCCTGATATAAGATTTGCTTGTTTATTTCTTTGACAGATTAACTATTCAGACATATGTTTGAATTGTTCAAAACTGCGTGAAAACTCCTCTAACTGGGATAAAGAATGCAACTGTTCTGTGTACTTCACACTGCAGGAAAATATGCTGGTAGGTAAATGTGTGAAACCAACCATAGACCAGAGTTCCTGTATTTCTGTATGTGTAAGAAGTATAAATTTTGTCCTATAAATGACACTAAGCCAGTTTCTGAAGGGCTTTATGCAGGGCCGGCTCCAGGCACCAGCCCACCAAGCTTGTGCTTGGGGC